GCAGGAATGGTTCTACACTGTAGGCAAACAGGTCAGCAGTGATTTCTAGGTATGTTGCCATTGGGTAGAGCAAGTAATCCTAAAGCAAAACCAGTACTTTTTAAAACCATGGAGATGTCAAATGGCAGCTTCTCCTCTTGAGATAACTAATGGCCTTGCTTCTTGAGAGCACAGTGGGATATGTTGTTTCCATCAAGAAAATGTTAGCACAGAGTCTGCTCTGATTTAAAGTAAGGACAACTGTCTGCTTTAACTGCAGTATAGATACATGATTAAAAAAAGGCAAAACTCCTCCCCCCATTAAAGCCACAGTCAGTGTTTGATACTACTGCTTTTGAAACACATTCCTCGCATTTAAGACTTCAGGCACAGTTACTGTTTAGGCAGTTGCTCTGGAGCGTAGTGAGAAGCTCAGGAGAGATTGTTTTTCCCTTGATTATATCTTGTTTGTTGCTAATAAACTGTTCCTGCTCTTAACAGATAACATAGTCTGAATTTAAGCTGATCAGTGCAGTGTGTTGCTATGACTGTGGCCTTTCTGGAAGGGTATGAGTTTGTTTTAAGTCATCTGCATCTAGTCAGACACGAATTACTGGTGAGTGTGGTTGAAAATGACAGCCTCAGAGTTGTCTCACTTGCTTGGCAGAGGACCTTGCACGTCAGAACCCCTACCTGCAAGTATCTTGTACTGTCTAAGACCTTGTGGTCTTTATCTCATGCTCCCCTATACTGCTGTTCTTTTAGAATCTTTTTAGGGGTCAGGAAAGCGAAAGTTTGGAAGGCCGTGGTATAGATGCAGTGTCTTCAGAAGAAAAAGGCTTTGTGCAGATAGAGAGCAGTTTGAAGGGAAGAGTCACCTTTGTAATAACATTGTTAACAATATTTTGAGAAAACAACCACTCTTGGTACACTGCAGTTGTTTGCTGCACAGAAAAGAGCACAAGAGACTGCTTGGTGCAGTGGGTTTGAGTGATGGTGATGTGGAGGATGCCTTGAGACTTTAGCAGAAACACCCTTCTAGAGAAGTTTTTACTTTAAACTTCTCTTACCTTTTTCTTGTTTTTCTTGTGTTGTAGCAGATTATTTTTTGTGTCCTTAATCTCTATTACAAAAGAGTTATGAGTGAAGAGTAGTAGTAATGTGAATTCAGCAAGTGGAGCAGTTCCTGTGTTACATATTTCATGTTTTTATCCACTAACTGTCCAAAATAATGTCTGCAAAGGTTGATAGGTCTGGATATATTTTTTTCAATAGGCCAAACAAGAATGTTAGAGGCTGTGAGTTGGAATTAGCCTGCATCTGTAAAGCTCATTGTATTAAATATGACACTTTTTCTATGGTTGTCCTGGTTTGAGCCAGGATGAAGCCAATTTTTTTTTTTACTGATTTTTTTTTTCCTTCAGTAAGCTCTCTTGTAACTAGCAACAGTGTGTTCTGCTAGGCTGATAAGACAGTGGAATGTTTTTCTAACTACTGAGGCTTCAAGGCTGCACCTGCACTCTGCCGGCTCAGACACTATGGGGAGATCTGTGACCCCCCCCCGTAGGAGGCTGAGTTAGATGGACAGCAAGATTGGTCAAAGATATTCCATTCCATATATCTACGTAAGCTCAGAGGAAGGCCAGAGATCACAGAAGACAACTTCCTTCCTTTTTCTTCTTCTTCCCTTCTCTTCCGTCCATGGCCGGCGTCCGGGGAGGACTCTGTTCATCCATCACCGTCGACCCTTAGGCTCGAGATCTCCTGACCCCCATAACTCTCTGCTCTCTCCAGCAGCAGCTCTGGGATTCCTCGGGACTCTTCCCAGTTCAGGGAAGTGCTGTGGGAGTTGCTGAGGGTGGGGGGTGGTGAGAGGCTTTTGCCTACACCTGAATCTATCTGTATATAATTGTATATATTTTCTTGTATGATTCATAGGGGTTTTAATTAAAGCTGTGTAGTTTAGTTTTCAATCCAGCCAAGTCTCTCTCTTTTTCTCTCTCTCCTTCCCTACGTGGGTTGGGGGGAGAGGGGATCGAGAGCATTGTCGTCGGACCTGAGTCAAACTGTGACAATGGTGTTCTTCTATCAAGTTTTCATGCTCCAATAAAAATAGGTGTTAATGGGGGGAAAAAAAGTGATGGAATGTAGTTACAGCATAACTAGCATATTTTGGGATTTCCATCACAAGAAAGTTAAACAGAACTTTGAGGGAGAGGTCTTCTCTTTTATTTGATCAGCTAAGTATTACAAAATTAATAAATTCAACCACTAAGACCCAACCAAATTAAGATCTAGGAATGCACAGTTAAGGACATGAGGAGGTAATGATGGGTAAGAAGATGATAGGTGGGTCATACACCTTATTTTGGTTAGTCAGTTTCTATTGTTTGTTGCATGTAAGTGTGATAGTTTTGTTATTGGTACATGTTGTTATTTGATAGTTACTGTTACTTTATGGGATACTTTCATGTGGCAAAGTCTACTCATCAGTCAGACAGTGTTCAACAATATAGCTCCTAACATCACAGTAATAAAGAATGATGGTGAGGTTGTCAGATTGATACCTGACATCTTGTGAGTTAAAGTACAAAGTGAATAATTGAAGTACTGGAATTTTAGCTCTGGGAATGTTGGATACCAAGCATTTGTGATACTTAAGCTGAAGTGTTGAAAGATGTGTAACAAATTGTAAAGGGCAGCAGATGCAGTCTCTGCAGTCATGACTCTCTATTTAAGGAAATTAAAGGAAAAAGGTAGAAGCAGAAGAAAAAAACTTCACTAGAATGCTCTTTAAAACAACAGAAATTTTCAGCTGAGAGAGCTTGAAAAATCTTCCACCACATGAAGTCTTTTTAAAAGTTATTATAATAAGTTGAAAATATTTTCCTGAAATGAAAATGTTGCAAAACACAAATCTATGAAATATTATTTCGTTCTGCACATTGCTGAGATCTCTGCCAAAATCAGCAAAGCACATCTGTTAGTCTATTAGTGAGAATAAATGTGAAGAGAATCCTTGTCCTTTGTCTTCATCTGGAAAAATGGAGTCTCAAGAACTGCAGGCATAGCTGTAGCTCAAACTGATACTTGTGTGGTTTGCTTCAAAAATTCTGTCTGAAATCCACAGAAGTGGACATGGTCTGTTGTATGAAGAAGAGAGAATGCAGCTAATCTCTAAATTAAGGTCTGACTATTCTTTCAGCCTAAGTTTGAAACAAAGCCCACAGCCTGCTAAATTGCTGATAATATGCCAAATAACCAACACATCAAGGGCCAGTTAAATTAATTCCTTTCATTTCATTTTGGACTACCACTCTCTGGCCTTTTTTTCTTTGCAGTTCCTTAGCAACACAGTTTTCTTCCCCTGCAAATTGAACAGTTCCATCAGCTCTGAAAGATTTCAGGCCAGTTATTTATAGACGGACAAGGGTATTCATGACATTGATGGACATGGAGCCCAACTGCTGCATGGAGGAATTAATAATCTTAAGATCCTGAGCTGGGGAAGGCTTCCACAAGCTGACTTTTATATCCACTTACATCTTCAGAATCCAGAGTTAAGCAATTCCTAAAATTGTAAACTAAATGGTGGTGAAAGCGTGATGGAAGACTTAAGGTTGTAGGAGATAGTGCTTAATGTGGCTAAATTAATTTAAAAAAACAATTCTGAGATAGTTGGTAAGGACAGGTATGGCTAGTAGCCTAGTGTGATTGTTTGCTTTGACTGCTTTTGTGTGTTAGGTAAGGAAATCCTTCAGAGCACCTTCTCTCATGTGGCCTCCAGCTAATTTTTTGTGGAAGGGCAGTGCTACAGCCAGGGCACTGTCTGCCTGCTGCAGGGTGTCCCAAGGAGCAGGACAGAAGGAGCCACTGCCCTCTCTAGCCTCCCACTCACAGACCTCTGCCAGTCTGTGAAGTTTATAAACTGGGGTGAGAGACAGTTAAAAGAGCAGCCTGGAACCCCTGTTGCTGTGCAGGAGGAACAGGAGAGGGAAGAAAGGATCGATGGTGCATGTCAGGGTCTGGTACTTGGCTGCTGAGATGCAAGTCCATTCTCTGGATTTACTGTGGTCATCTGTCAGCAGGTTGGTGAGTTTAGAGGCAGTGAAAGATCAAACCTGTTACTGGTAAAGTCTAAAAAAAAAAAAAATCACTAATCCTATTAGATCTGTAAAGGCTTAAGTACAATCTGAATTACAGGGTCACATCTATTTACTCAGCTGTCTACTGTGTCTACTTAGAAATACTCACCTGTTGTTATTGCCTTAAAACACTGGGCAATTAGTTGATGGATGTTTTCTTCAAAGGCTTTTAATACCTCTGGTGGATTTCTGTATCAAATATGCTCTGCCATCATTACTGTTTTAACATAATTTTTTTTTTATTTGGTGATCATGTACATGCAGATCAAGTCAAGTGCCTTTCATTGATTCCTATTTACACATGAAAATCCTGGAGTACAAAACACATCTGAAACCTGTAGGTGAAATGCTGGCCTTCACTGAAGCTGTAAGGCAGACTTGGGGAGTTCTTGTATTCTCTCACTCTCTGTGAGAAGCAGGTAATTGTTTGATACACACCTGCCCTTTTAGCATATTCAGTATTTGACTATTTTATTTTTGCCTCAATTTTTTAATTTTAGAGAGATCATC